TTTTACATGAAATATGTTGACCAAAATACCTCCGAAAAGTTTCGGGGGTATTTTGGTCAATTTTTTAACAGATAATTTTTTTTATATATTTTTATTAGGTGCACCTTGATGAGAATAACACAACTAAAATTTCAAGTGATTTGGATTTGTAGAAAAAATAAAATAAAATTCAAGTATTATTGGACATCCGTGATCGTCAGATCAACCCAGAATCAATCTGGACCATTGGGATCATATGTTCATATGCGCTAGTGGGCAAATGGGCTAATCCCATCTTTTCTCATATATATATCACAGATGAAAATTCTATAAACCCTATGCTTTATGAAACAAAATAAAGCCTAACCTCAAATCCTTGTTTGAAAATCACTTTCGGAAACAAAATCTTCATGATTGCTCTAAAATTAATTTTCAACACCCACAAAAAAACTTAGAACTCAAAAAATGTATAGACCTTGTGGATTTATCAACATTTAATTTACGGCAAAATAGAGGGTCTAGATAATTAGTTACGATATACGCTATTTTAGAGCTTGAAATCCTAATTTTCTTCACAACCATAACGTTCAAGTCGAGATGATTGATGTAAAGGTTTTCCAAAACTTGAATTGCAATTTTTGATGAGGGCTACAGCCCTATCAAACCATTTTCCAATAGAACAAGGATTTATTAGAGGGATTTTAGGATGACTTAAAAAAAATTAAATAAGTTAAAAAATATAAATAAAATGGAAATTTTTTGTTGTGGGAAGGGAAGCCAATATTAGTACCTTCCTGGAGCTAGCTGAAAAATAAGGGAAAATTGGGGGGCTTTAAAACACTGTTTTAATACTGCCTTTGAATTTCGTGTGAGGACAAGCAAGCTGAAAAATAAGGGAAAATTGGAAAAGCATCGCACCACCAAATTGGACTTCAATCCTCGTACGAAAATGCAATTTTAGGGGAATTTACATGAAAAGTTTATGTACAAAATGATTAGAGCCGAGGTTCTAATCAATCAAAGTAGAGCCCACTCAAAAATTTCATTAGAAGAGGTTGTTTTGATAGCCAAATATCCTCAAATTGATAATCTCACATCAAGATGCATTGATATGAGAAAAAAATGGATTTCAAGTTTTGGAAATCATGTATTTTGTAATGCGTTTTTGGGCAGTCAATTTTCAAAATTTTCAAGTTTTTATAATGTATTTTGTAATGCATTTTTGGGAAGTCAATTTTCAAAATTTTCAAGTTTTTATAGATCTTTTGATCTACATTATTTTTTAAGCTTTAAACTTTCTAAATAAAGATGCAAACATATTTTAGGGCTATCAAAAAGATTTACAGCACCTTTGATAAAAAAAAAAAAAAAGGAAAAGAAAAGAAATTAAAAGAGGGGGAATTTTAGGGGTAATGGGCTGGGACCTCTTCCATACGAGTCTGGCTCGGTAATCTTAGGGTTCTAAAACACTGGCCCTTCCTTATGCTACAAGATTCTCCTCGTAACGCTTTATTGGGCTCTTCTCCAAGAATATACTTCTTACATAAATATGCTTAACTTTGCTTCATAGGACGCCGGGTCTATTTGGGTATTTGAGAAAAGTTTTGAGGAAGTATCTCCCTACGCAGGACAGGGCTTCCCGCCTATTATCAAGGTTGAAATTGCCCGCTGCAAAAACATCCCATAAAAGGGAGGAAAAAGGGAGAATTAGGGTTTTACAGTTCATCGAGGAAGAAGTAAAATTTTCCAATCCTAATGAGGGAAACTGGAAAAGAAGGACTTGTAGTTTTCAAAACTTCCTGATAAGTATGCAATTTTTCGTCGACCAAGAGCAAAGTTTTCAACTTCTATTTGCAATTTTTCTTTCTTCCATTTTTCATTTCTAATGACTCGTTGTGTCTACAAAAATTTATAGAGTTTTCATAATCCGTATCAATCGAGCTTTTGTTAATTTCATAATTCTTCAAAATCAATTTGGTGTCATATTTTTCGAAGGCTTCTGTCATAGAAAATGTTGAGTAAGCTCAAAGTCGAGGAGCTTCGAGCTCAGCTGTCTAAAAGAGGCCTCGATACTTCTGGTACCAAACAAATCCTAGTAAGTCTTATCTTATTCCCTTTGTTTTCTCTTGTTTCCATAGGTTTTTTGGAATAAAGTTTGTTCTTATAGTTTCATTTCTTAGAATTTTCAGGAGCCTGCTAAAATGCCAAATGTGAAATTCCATTGATCAATTTTTCTTTTCTCTTTTTTTTTTTTGAAAATGAATTCTATAATGGCACCACGAGTGATACTGATTGTTATTTTAGCCTTCATATATGTCAAAAGTCTTTTTCAGTAGTGTTTCTCTATATTGTAGGTGAGAAATCTGGTCTCATGTGTTATCCCCAAATATATATATATATATATACACGGCTGGATAGTGAATACCTTATTTTTTACATGACAAATGGACACATTACCTCATTACAAGGATAAACACATTAAGCATTTCAGATTGATTTTGTTCACAAGCATGTTAAGTCTTCGAGTCTGTATATTTCCCGTTTAGACTTATTGTTTCTGTTTTTGTTTTTACTTTTTCTCTGAAAATCAACCTAAATTTTATTTCACTAGATTATTTGTTGACCAATTAAGCAGAGCAAAACTGTTTGCTCAGCGGACTAGACATTCATTTGAAATGTCGATTGTGAGAAACGTTCTACATTTATCTGCTTTTTTGTTTAGTACACAGAGTATTCGAATATCTTAATGGATTCACAATTATGCTTTTTCTCAGCTTCGTAGGCTTGACAATGCCATAATGGAGGAAAAAACTTCTCCTCCAAAGAAAAGAAAAAGGGAAGACAAGTTAACCGATCATGGTGATGAAAATGAAGTAGAGAGCAAAAATGGTAACTCTTTGCCCTCAAAATCTGAAATTATTAAATCCCCTAGCAACATGAATGTTCGTGAACTACGAAAGGAGCTGGAAGTTTGCCGTTTATTGACCTCTGGTTTGAAAAAGGAACTCATAGAGAGGCTCACAACTAGTGTGGAGATGGATGGAGATCTTACCAAAGAAGATGCTACAAGTAAGCAAATTCCTCCTTTGTTGTAAACTTGGTTTTTATGTCATGGGATTGATTTTTGGTCTATTTTCTTAGCCTCGTTTAAGTAGGTTTTAACAACTAGGTTCTTGGAACAAGATTGAGTTAAAGTTTTTTCAAAACCTTCATATTCGCACATTGTCAAATATAGACTACTGTTCTCCTCATGTTCAGTTGGAGAAATTCTCACATTCAGACTAGAAAGCCCTCTTGATACACCCTATTAGTATATACCCATACAACATGCTTGATGACTAGTTAAAGAAACATGGGAGAACAATGAGTTCAACACGGATGATGAATTTTTGCAAGCAAGGATCCTGCTTTTAACTCTTTCTGGACTTGAGGTCCTTGGACTTGGGGTTCCTTTTTAACTTTGTTTGGACTGTATCTATTAACTTAGAGAACCAGCAGTATGCGTTGTGGGAGATGGAATGCAGCTGTCTTTTGACATTCAACATACCTTTTCGGCTTACTTTTCCGAATTTTTTATTAGGTTGGGATTCTTCCTCTTCTTGGATCAACATTCTTGAACTTATTTGTGGGAAGGGGCTGATTTGAGTTGGTTCTTAATTACATGTAAACTACAGAGATGTTCATGCATGTCACATAGACAAATCAGGGCCATTGAGTTTGAACAGCACAATTACTAGAAAAACTTGAGATTCTTTGAACTTTTTGAATTTATTGGGTGGCGTGTTACAGTTTTGCTTATAGGGAATGTGCTATGTACCTTAAGACATGTTTCTTCAGTACTTCGGGTGGGAACCATATTGAAACTTTTGTGCCTTTAGCTTATGCACATGGACCATGATGGGAATCACTTCAACCTATTTGGGAATTATGCAAAGAACAGAAAGTAGTGGGCCCTATGACCTCTGAGTTCTGGAGTGCTGTGTTCAGCGCCTTTTCCAAACTTCTTGGACTGTTGAAATTTAAAATATTATCCCCTAGGCTTGCGCTGGAACATAATTGAGTATGCTATGTGGGTTGTTCACTTTCTGGATGAACTTAACTAGATAATCCCAGATGACGGTTTATCTAAAAGAAAATAATGTTGAACTGCCCTGCAGTGCTAAAGCCTAAAACATCAATGCCACATAAATGACACCTTGATATGGAAAAGTCCTCTAGTTAACTTTCTTGTAGAATCAAATTTCATTGAACTCGAGTCCTTTCTTTTGTTAGATTTAGGCCTAGTGATGATGCCATGCGAATACATTATACATAGCTAGGGGCTGTTGCCCTCATAAGTTACTTGTTATTATCATTTTGAAAAGTACTATATTGATCAATGCCTAAACTCAAGAAACACCCCCCCCCCCCCCCCCCCAAAAAAATAAAAAATAAAAAAAAGAAAAAGAAAAAGAAAAAAAGAAATTAACAAAAAACAAAGAAAAGAAAAAAATAAGAACACTTTGGGTTTGACGCACAATAAATTTTGTGAATATTTGCATTGAATTAACTTGTTTTTAATGTATTTCCTCACCTAGCTGCTCAACTGGCATAAGGAAGCCTTTAAAGATTCCAATCATTGCTCCACTTTTCTCCCAATCTCCAAATGGAGTTTCAACTTTCATTTTATGAATTGACATGCCTTTAAGGACTCTTTAATCCACAATACACTGTATGCTGATGATACACTACATTCTTCTTGCACTCTTTTAAATTCTTTGATATCACAGTTTTGTTTCTCCCATTTTGTAATTCACATGACTGCATTGCTTATTATCTAGCAAAACCTTAATAATCCATGTTATGAATGTTTAACTTAAATGATCACAGTTCACGACGTTGATGAATGTAAGAAGGAGAAATTGGTCAAAGCAACTAAGAAGGGTGGTTCAATCTTGCATCAATGGCTTTCAGATGACATAAAGTTAGGCTACCATGTATTGCAAATAGTAAGTGGATCCTTTCTTGCAAATTGTACTGTACAAAATTTTTTATATTATAATGCTGATTTGTGCGTTACCTTTTTTTTTGCCTTCTTTGACTATGATCGTTGAAGTTTCCCAGCCATCTGATACTTGGATTTCTAGGTCATGCTTCTGTTTGTGGTATGGTTGGTTTCTGATGTTTTAGCTATGGTTGATTTACATTTGGGTTTACTTCTTAATATTTTCTTTACCCTTGACAGGGGGATGAAATCTATGATGCCGTATTGAATCAAACAAATGTTGGACAGAACAACAACAAGTTCTATGTGATTCAAGCTCTTGGTAGATTCTCCAGTCTTTCAAATGTATTATATTTAATTGCTTTACAATTCTCTTACCATAAAAGATAACATAAATCGGTCATTTTTTTTCTTCAAGCTCATACCATTGGTCTTGTTGTTTTGGGGAATTCGTTTCCTGCCTAATTCTTATTTGTAGAATCATTTTCTGTACACATCATTAATATCTCTTCTTGCTTTTGGTTGGTCTTATATGTTGACCAGAATCTAACATTGATCAAGCCATTACGTAGAGGCTCATTGCTTATTTTAAATTTTGTACATAATTGCATACCATATTGTGGTGTCTTGTTTTTATTGATTTATTTTGTAAATCATCACCATGGAACACAATCATGGACTCTTCTCCAACCTTTATGGCAATAATGTTTCTTCGATTTTCTCCTTATATTGGTTCACCCATGCTTATAACGTGACATATATTTGTTGCTATGTACTTAATGAATCGAAACTTTGGATTATCTCTTCTCTTTCTTTATTTTGGTCCCTGTCCTATTAACTTTGACATGATTTTTTTTTTCATGTGTATTTACTCAAGTCTTTGTATTTCTTGAAAATCTTTCTTTCGCTTGTGTGGTTAAGGCCTCAAGTTTTCAATAAGTAGTGAACCTATTTATAATTGGAATTCAAATTGAGACCTTTCTGAAATTTGTAGAAAGCTCCTGACTGCTCAAGGGTTGATATACCATGTATAGCTACTGAATTTCCTCATGACAATTGTACTTGATTTTCAAAACCAAATGCAGAAGCTGATAGTGGTGAAAAGTACATGGTTTACACAAGATGAGAAAGGGTGTGAGGGGTCAAGACAAACTATTTGGTCCTTGCACTTCACGTGATTGTGCGGTTAATGAATTTCAGTCGAAGTTCGTCTCCAAGGCAAAGAACAACTGGTCCGATAGGAAAATTTTTACTCCTTATGCAAAAAGTTACACTTGGTTGGAAATGGACTATAGTGAAGACACATGCAAAAACAAAGCAGACCAAGGTAAGATCTCATTTTACTCAAGGCTTTTACATAGGAAGCTTGCATTATATTTATCAAATGTGACTGGAACTTGCTATCTGACTGTGTTATTCTATGACAATTTTTCTTAGATAAGCACAATAACTGCATAGTTGCTGCTCAACCACGTAAGACAAGACTGCGTATTGCAGAATTTATTTCACTTATCTGCAATGTTAGCATGATGAAGCAACAAATGCTTGAGATTGGTTGGTAACTGATTTCTTTGTAAAAATAAGTTCAAACCTTTTGTTTATCTTGTCTAATGCAGTAGTCACTTTAGGTTTTGTTAAAAATGTCATCTAATGAGAATCCTGCTAGTAGAATTTTGAATGCTTCCATGTCTACACTTAATTAGTGTTATTATTATTTTTATTGGAAATTGGGTTAATGACTTAATCAATGTGAATTGCCTTTTATGCTCTCTTACCCCTTCAAATATTTCCTTCTTTTGTCTAGGTTACAATGCTGAAAAGTTGCCCCTCAGGAAGCTAAGCAAATCTACTATTACAAAGGTAAGTCCATTGACTCATCTTTTGCATATTTCCTCTGCCACTTGATCTTTCTCCTTTCAGCTTGAAGTCTCCTACTTCTAGTTATCTATGAATGCACTTTGTACATTTCATTTCGGATAGTTAAAATCTCCTGTCCAATCTAAATGGTGGCTATCTTAATATGATGGCTGTGGTACTGGTCAGTGATGAAGTTAGTATTTTGCTTCACATAGAATCTGCCTGGTTGTTGGTTCTCAGGCTTGCTGTGATTGCAGTTACTATGCCATCTTTTAGGTTAGTATCCTTTTTTACTTGTCCTGTATCATGTCGTTGACATTCTTCAGGGAGTCTCTGAACTTAAGAATCAAGCTAACTGGTATTTGAGATTGTTGCCTCTGATGTGTGGCATTCATGGTGTAGCTTGTAAAGCAACCTACTCCTGCAAGTCACCACTGAGTCTCACGTAAAGACAATTGATCACCAGCCCAAGCACCCACATAATAGTCAGACACTGCCATCACAGTTTCCAATTCTGAGGATTCTATGGGTTGCATCCAGCAGAGGGAAACCTATCAATTTGTAGGCAAATGATATCCACATGAATGGTTTGGATTCTTATGTATTTATGGGGGCTTGATCATCTACTCATGTCTGTTCATTTCAATTTACAATTATGTTGATAGTAGTCTAGACTGGAGAACTGTGGGGCTACTCTAGTGACTTTTAGACATTTCTAGCTGGCTTTACTTCATCCTAGGTTTGTGTAGAATCTTCTATGCTCCTTAGATATCATAAATTATAGTCCTTGTGGTTGTGGGGATTGAACTTGGTGGATTGTAAAGAGAAACTATGAGCTCTGTACAACCCTTTCCTGGTGTACTGGAAAGCAACCTGGTGGTCCAGTCGACCTGTTCAGAAAAGAAAAGCGCCGCAGCACATCTCCAACACACTGCTTCTAAGCTACCATAAATTTCTAAAACAAATAATTTTGGTTTCTAGACACTTTGCAGTTTCCCCAATTCAATGAAAAGAAAATTGAATCAGATCTTTGACCCTGTCTTTTACTCAAGAGAGTGGTCTAGACTATGCACGACTTGGTGGCTATTTATGCCTTCAGATCCATCTAATGCATAGGCACTTTAGTCAGGCAGCTGCCTGTGCAACGGTGGGTGCAAATTTATTTCACTCTGGCTCTAGGTGGCACCTAAGTTGCCACTTGGCTTCTTATTAGTACCATGCTCTTTGCCATATTGCTAATCCTCCTCAGTCTGTCTTTTGCTAGAAACCACAGACTGTTGCTGTTGCTGTCCTCTGCTTAGTTTCATTTGTGAAATCCCTTCTCTTACGTTGGATACTGCTCTGCATGCATGAGGACTACTTGTGTTCAGATTAAGCTGAACACCACCTTGTCAAAGTTGGTGGTGGCACTCTTATGGACGTCTTTTATAGGGTTGCTTTGTATCCTCACTCAGGGTCTTTGCATAACTTGTGTGAAAGCATGGTATATCTGCAGCCTGTCCAGCAATTGAACCCTACAGGATCTCGGTCAAGCACCCAAGAAGCCTTGTGTTTGGGGTTCATACTCCTTGAGAGTTGTTATTTTTGTGAAGGATTTTGATCGTGGTTTGAGGCTACTATGCTGGTGAACTCGTCATCAGCAAAGTGTTGAGGCTTTGGCTGAAAATCATTACACCCCTTTGAATAGCCATTTCATTTGTTGCATTCAAGTTGGTAACCTTCGCAGTTGGATTTTGGATCAATGGTTGTGTAATTGGGTTTCTTAAATCTTTTGTGCAAATCGTATCTGTCAAGAAAGAAAAAAGGGGAGAAAAGAAAAAAAAACTTATTGTGCAAATGGTGTTATAGTATCAATTAATGAGGTTGACTCGTACTGTCCTGTCTGTTTCTCCCTTTTACAGGGATATGATGTATTGAAGAGAATTGCTGATGTGATTGGACAACCAGATAGGCTCAAACTTGAGCAACTGAGTGGGTATGTATTTAGTACATTACAATGCTAGTCCTTATATTCATAGTTGCATGACAGAAATCTGGAATTTCTTACATGAACATTTACCTGAAGAAGTGTATGCTGAAGTCTTTGGGTTGCGATACCTTTGCATGGATCTTAGATTTACTATTTCTTTCTATGCATTAGATTTATGATATTAATGCTGAGATCTTGCACAAACAAGAATGGATTATTAAGGCGATACCTTCGCCTGATTAGTTGAGAATAAGCTGAATTTACCTGTGACTTCCTTGAACATTCCTTAAAAAGTATGGTGATTTATTGAATAAAGATGGAGATTGGAATACCCTACGAGTTCTTTCACTCTGAAATGACAGCATGGTAAGAGAGGTTCTTGAATCCCTATTTACTGTGACTCTACCCACCTTTAATGCTAATTGAGTTGAACAAGTACAGCTTCTAACTAGAAAGGAGGCAATGAGTCCAGCACGGCCCATGGCAGCATTTCTCCTCTTCAGTTCCAGCCGCTGTAGGAATCGGGCTTGGACTTGATTGTTTATCACTTGATGTCAAGCAACACTACATCTCAAGTTCCATTCCTAGTACGGAACTACCCAGGAAAAAATAGAGGAAAAGATCCAGCCGCTGTTCATCTTTGGGGAAACTAACCAATTTAAAACATGCTTATGTGTTTTATTTGTTTTACACATTCAGAAGTTATTTATTTCTTAGATGGTCATGTGCTGATTGTTTATGTAAGGAACTCCAATATTTGATGATAGAATTGGTTTTTTGATTCATTTTGAATTCCAAATCTGTATTGTGCTTTTTAATTTTGTCTTTCATGTTTTTCGTATTGTAGGAAGATCCCCTTTACTTTTACTATGGACGGCTTCATAGTGAACTGGTACCACTTGAAGCTGATTCTCAAGAATTTTCCTTGGTAATCCATTCTGTACTGAAGCTTAAAATATATTAAATGCCATGATGTGACAAAGATTTTCTTTCTTTCCATTGATTTCTAAAAGAGGAGCATTCATCTAATGCCTGTATCTCTCTTTACCTTTCCATGTCGTTTGGTGGATTTGCTTCTTTTCAAAGTGCTAACGAATGGATAGTATGCAAATGAATAGCCTATGGAACAATATTTTGTTGTTTATTCTGATGGTGTCACACCAATTCTATGGGCACATTGTTTTAGATTTCTGCCCTTATATATTCATACTCTGTACTGTCCCATGTTCTTCGACATGCTACTTGAGGCATGCAGATTTCATGTTCAATGCATAAATTATATGCCACAAGTTAGTGATACACTGATCCTATATTCCCACTAATTAATAAATGATTCAAACTGAATTATTTGGCGCTACTGTGCTAATAATTTAGAACCGGTAAAATTTGACTAGAGTAAAGGTTGGTAACAATGACATGTAGAAGAGCTCGGTTTCATGAAGGTGAAGGTCACCATTAATCGAGTTCCATTCCTTTGGGCTTTGTTTTTCACTGATTTACTTTGATGTTGCACAGTTGAAAATTGTTGATTGTCATTTGATATTTCTGAGTTGATGCCCAGGTATTTTTCTACATACTAATAAGTATCTCGTTCTATTGAATTTGTTCCATTTTTGTGCTACAGGCCCCCAAATATTTTATGGGAATTCTGCTGGTTATTATGTTATGTTATGTATCTCCATTTTGTGCAAATGGTCTCCTTTCAGCACACCAATGTGCATACGATGTTCTCTTGTGCATTTCTCTATGCATGTATGCATGTATCCATGTATCCATGTATTGAAACATGTTCTGTAGGTTAAAGTGCTGCTAGAGAGATGCGCATTGAAACAGTATCAGCTTGACACATCTTTACGTCCACATTGTTTGATTAGTACCTTCTTGTGTTTTGGTAGTTTCCTGTGTTTTAATTTTTGTTCTCCTTTTTCTTGTTTCCTTTTTTGGTTCTGATTAATATTGACGTTAGCCTTTGATGGGGTCTTAATTGTGTCTCTTGTAATTTTCTCGGACATTTTTTTAAGGGTGTGGTATGTACAAGGTGGCAACTTTACTTGTAAAAGTAAGGTTGTGACGTTCTACAATGTCATTTTAGTTGGATAGTGTAGATTTGACATATCTTTAACACTATACCAAAAAGTAGCAATGTCAAATGTAGATTTGACATATCTTTAACACTATACCAAAAAGTAGCACGTCTTTTAAGACAATGTCAAATGAGTAGTGTAGATTACTACTCCCTTACTTCTTGCAACCTTATATAAACTTTTTCTCTTTTTTTTAAAACCCAAACAAATTTATCGAATATCCAGATGAATGCCATCCTAATAATTGTGTAGTTTTTCACATGCTTTTGTAATTGTGTAGTTTTTCACATGCTTTTTGTAATAAATATTCCATCATTTTAGATGGCAGATTATTGAACAATCTGTGATGGAATGTTGGTTCTTTCTTTTGTCAGATTGAGAAGTATATGTGGAATACTCATGCTGAAACACATTCCTATTATACTGTTGATATAGTATGCTTCTTTAAGGTTTCCAGAGAAACTGATAATGAATGATTTAGAAGGTGAGGACATGATTTGTTGCTATTATTATGTCTCAATTTCTCTGAACAATCATGCCCAATTCGTCCCTCTGCCTTGTTATTTTTTTCTGCTTTGCTCAACAGATGTTGATTTTGTTTGATTTATAGTTGCAAGCTACAAGTTTATGGCTGATACAATTTTTTTGCCTGGTTCCAGTTTTCTAGCACAAAAAATAAACTGCTCTTGTGGCATGGTTCTCGACTTACAAACTGGACTGGAATTCTCTCTCAAGGTTATTCATTTCCGTAAATCTCTACTTTGTGATAAATCTTTTCAATTGGTCCGAATAGGTGTTTTGCCCATTTTATACCATTTCATACAACCTATCACATTGCCCTTTTCTTTTTCCTAATACGATAAGAATAGTGGTTATATAATCTTTGACATACTAAAATAATGGTTATATTAAAGTGAGGTAAGTTTTAACTCCCTTATTTCGTACCTTCTCTATTAAAATGAGTGAATTTGAAAATGCTGAGTGCTTGGTATTCCATGTAACAGGACTACGAATTGCTCCTCCAGAAGCACCTGTTACGGGTTACATGTTTGGGAAAGGTGTTTATTTTTCTGACATGTTCTCCAAAAGCTCAAACTATTGTTACTCATCTCATTCATCTTGGGCTGGAGTGCTGCTTTTATGTCAGGTTGTTCATGGAATTCTCATGGCAGTTAAACTGGGTTAGATTTGTTTTAGTCTAGCTGGCTAGATTTGTTTTTGTCTAGCAATACCTTTACAGTTGCACAACCATTGAAATACATGCTTTGATCACATTTAGACTCTGCTTTCCAGGTTGCTTGAAGGGAAGCTAAGGTCTCTCTTGTTCTTCATTATTTGTATATGCATCTGATAGTTTTCTTCTATTATATGGATTTTTTTGTCACACTCACAGAAACACAGACACACCTCTTGCGAGATATAGAAGCAAGGCTTTGCTTGAATGTATATATTTGGTGTGCATATGCCTTACCAGCACAGACTATCTAATCAGATTAATCTCATGCATGTTGAACATTTCATCAGTGTTTCTTTCTCATGTAGGCATCATCAGCATCAACTACTGAGTCAAATGTCAGAATACTAGCTTTATATACACTCAAGAAATGTAACTTTTTACTATTTTAGCAATTCCCTAATATGGTTTAATGGAGCAGTCAGGGTAACTATTGACTTAGAATCACAAGATAACAACAAAGGAACCTTTTTGCTAGTAAGTGCATCTCATATGCTTCATGTAAATATATCAGATTGCAATGACACATCGGATGGCTGCTAGCTTCTGAAGTAATAAGATCGAGGATATTATGGTCACTATACAGATTCTGTGGTACATAACTGAGCAGCACGATCTTATTCTCATGTATATATTTTGACTAGTCTACAGCCTGTACGATGCACAGTCTCGCCGAATCAAATTATGAATAATTTTTACCTTTTACACTGATACAAAATAATTCAAATAATAAAAGTTTCAATTACAAATTGAGAAAAATTTGAGAATTTATTAACTTATTTATTAGGACTCTACTATTGAAAGATAAACTACTGTTACTTTTCATAGCCTATATTTTACATTGGTAATTTTTCTAGAAAATATTTCAAAACCAGATAGTAAAAGAAGTCATAATTTGAAAAAGAAAATCACATTAATCTTTTCCAAAATTAAACTTAAAGAAATTTTATTTAATCTTATATTTGTATTGAAACTATATTCATTAGGACTCTATAAAGAAAGATTGCTGCTCTATCCCTTGTTTTAAATTGGCAAAACTTTTAAACAACAATAATTCATAACCAAAAAATAAAAATTAAGAAAGTGTAATCGTTTTTATTTTTTACAACTTTAGAACAAGTTTTTTTTTTTTGAGAAAAAACTCATTGATCCTATATATGTCTGGAGATTTATTAGGAATGATATTCGTACTTTGAGAGAGCATATTGCCCAAATCTTGATGCCGTCTTAATTCGGATTGTCAAATAGCAATAAACCTATTTGTATCGGGATTCTCTTTCGAAGAGGAGTAGATATGGCAGTTTCTTTTTCCAATGGTTATGATCTAGTCCATTAAAACAGAACTCTATGTTTGCATAATTACGAGGAACTTCAGAAGAAATTCAGTACATGTGGTTCAAATGTATACAATGGAAACCCACATACATATATAAAAATCAAATATCAGGGAAGATCCAAGCAAAACTAGGATGCCACTTTTTAGCGTGTCAAGAACTTGCAAGCTCTCTGAAAGTCCATTAAATTTGCAACCACTTCACTAAAAATCTTTCTGAACTTCCCTGCATTTTGTTGAAAGATTAAACAGATGGGGCCTTTTCTCTTTTCTTATCACCCATTTTTTGGGCAATTTCAGCACCAAAGGAGTCGGAGCAACTGCCCCGATCCTTCAGGTTTCCGTGTGCTTGAGGATGGTGTCATCGTGCCCCTGGGAAAACCAAAGAAGCAGTCTGGCCCTCAGGTATTGCTAGTCATTATTATTAACAATATTTTGATTGCATGTTCCTTATGTAAGTTGTATTTTATTTTGTGATCTCATTGTCCTTCCATTTCCAGGGAAGCCTGTTATACAATGAGTACATTGTCTATAACGTGGATCAGATTAGGATGAGATACGTTCTTCAATTAAATTTCAATTTCAAGCATTGATGGCATTGCATAAGGTATAGCTCATGGGTGATTTTGATGTTGTTATCCATGCTGTAACTGTTGTCTATATTTATCATATGGAACGCTAAGAAAGAATCAGGATTCCTGGAAAGGCCTGATGGTTTTTGTTCAGAGTGAGTGAAGGCAACGTGGCATTCAAATTGCTTGTACCTGTAAATATAGGAGAGAGAGAGAGAGAGATGCCCTCACCACTTGTTTGATGCTCAAAAGGGATAATTTAAATTATTTCTAGGGGATAAATTATTTTTGGGTCAAGAACATAACCAAGCTGAAGATATTGTATGCTTATGTGCGAGCATATCGATCATTCACTACTTCAGGTGAAACCCCAAAAAAAAGAAAAAAGGAAATGATAAGACCGCATACCTAAAAAAATAAAACTTTCTATAAAAGGGAATAAAAACTTCTACAATTTTTGGATTGTCAGATTTAAGTGTTTAGAAATTCAAGATTCAAAACGTTTATTCTAAAAAATACTCATCTAGGATCTCAAAATTTATTATCGAAGAAATCTTCTTAAGTAACTCTTTTACTTGAGAAATAATGAAAGTGCAGACTTTATTTGGACAACTTTATTAGACAAGGCCCCATGGCACTTGCAAATTTGAAGAAACACTTCCCCCAATAAACTTTGGAGCAGCCTACCGTTCAACTTCAATCTCCAAAATTAGGAAACATCTGTGCAGTCTATGATTTAGAATAGTTGATGTTTTAAGTATCTTTTGATAAATGTGTGAAATAAATAATTGATATTTTAAGGGTATTTTGAAAAATTTATCCAAAATCTTGCAAGTACCTAAATGACCTAATTGCAAATAAGTAAAATCTTTGTTAGTAAAATTATTGATTTAATCTCCTCATCGATTTTTTGAGGTGGTTAACCCAATGTATTGGGACTTGGACGAGTAGACTCGGGCTCAATTGAGTTACTAAGTAAGGGCAAGCTCATTGTACACCTTCCTGTAAACAGGGAGGTGTACAATACTCACAGGCAAGTGCACTTGGCAAAGTAGTAATATGCTCAGTCGAGTCTTATCAAGTCAACCTACGTCTTGGCAGCCTTTGAACTGCATTTTTCATTTGATTAATGCATTTATTGTTTTCCCTTTAGAAAAGATTTTGATATTTATAAAACTCACCCGACCACCAAATTGATCAATGGAAGCTTTAATTTGAATTAAAATCTGTGGTTTTTTGAGTTTGTTGCATATGTTCTTGGGCCACATCTGCTTTTTACTAGATTTCTCATCAATTACGCATCCAAATATCTTGAAATCAAGTTTATTGGGAAGCTCTTTGGATCCTCTTCTGGGTTTGTTGTTTTGATTTGTTTGATTATAGCAAAAAAAAAAATCTGGCTTGAAAGCCAATGAACTGTTGAATACAACTGTGTTTGAGCCATGCCCGCCTTTTTATAGATTTCTCATCCTTTACTCATCTAAATATCTTGAGACTAGGTTAATTATGAAGCTTTTTCAATCTTCCATATATCCCTTGTCTTGATCTGTTCTATTATATTTAAAAAAATTGATTGATCTGGCTTGAAAATCTATGCTATATCGAAGAAGAAAGTTTTCCTAAACCATGTTTGCGTTCTAGATTTGGCATCGTTTACTCATCCAAATTTATGGAAATCAGGCTCTATGCTCTTTGAATCTCTACATATTCCTTATATTGATTTCTTTGATTATGTCAAAACAGTTGATAGATCTGGCTCGAAAATCTCAGGTCTATGCAAGAACACAGTATTCTTGAGGGCAAATTGTATTTTGCACGATTTTTCATTTTCTTCTAACCCAAATTTCATGAAATCAGATTCATTTTCAAGCTTAATTCATCTTCCTTGTAAGCCTAATTTTCAAAAGTTTTCCCAATTTATTTGCTTCATCAAGTAATTTTTTCTTGTCTTGGACATGCCTAGTGTGAGTGCACTTGGATTCACCTGAGTTACTGACATCTTCCAAGGGCTGAGGACTGTGGCTGAGGCGAGTTTGGGTTGACCACTCTAATTACATTTTCCTAAAAACCAATGGGAAAGCTTTCTATGTTCTCCCTACAACATAGAAGTTCTATCCTACCCTTTATCCGACCTTCCATTTTTTGAATGGAGGGTTAAGATTGCCTCAATCACAATGTTACATCTCTACACTGTTTTATTTTTAATTTTTTTCTATAAACTGTTTTGACACCAAACTTTGGACGTCCATTTCTCTATTAAACTAGCACTAACAAAAATGTAAAAAAAATTATTTTCAATAAAATTAAATGATCAAAATACCCTTGAAAACTTTAAGGGGTATTTTGGGCATTATTTTTTATCGAAAATTTATTGTTAATATTTTGTATAGGTGCGCCCCAATGAGAAGATGGCACGTAGCAAATTTTAAATTCAGAAAAATTGTATTAAAAAAACTAAAAATAAAATACTTTGAGAACGGTGAGTGGCTCTCTTCATAAAAAATGGACGGCTGGATGGTAGGGGGAGGATAGAACTTCTGTGTTGTAGGGAGAACATAGAAAGCTTTCCCAAAACAAAATTGGGATAATTAGAGATGCATTAGAACTTAAGAATAAGGGGAATATACGTAAATATTACATTCATATCCCCTTCTTTAAGAGCATATTTAGACTTTTGCATCTATAAAAATAAAAAAAAATAAAATTACAAGAGCATCATGTATAAATTTTTGGAGCATTTTTTATATTTTGGTAATTATATTTATTTAAAATTATATTATTAGATCTTTTATTGGTACATTGTGGTTTTAAGAGCACATTTGACATTTTAATTTTGTCTTTGTTTTCTTCTCTACAATGGATTGAGCTCAAATATTGTGTGTCCATATTTTTCACCATTGTGTTTTTGTAAAAAAAAAATAGAAAAACCAAAAAAATCACCAACACATCATAACAAAAATTTAGAGCTATTTTGGTCATTTTATTCATTTAAAGAATTTTAAATTTATTTTACTGGTACATTATGATAGGAAGTATAAATGCCTATAATTTGAGCTCAATTCAATATGTGGAAAAAAATTTAAAATACTAGATATATTCTTAAAAAAATTGGACAAAAATATCATCATCATCGTTGGAGCATTTTCCCAACTAATTGAGTTGGCTACACGAATCCGGATATGTTGTTCTGCTCTATCAAGGGTTATACCTTAAGCCATAAGTCTCAATATCTTTTCTCACTATTTCCAATCATGTTCTTTTGGGCCTATTCTTTGCCTTCCACTTGTATTGAGCCAGCCTTTTAATAGGGGTTGGGTTGGACATGCGTTAGTTTCCATTGTTTTATCAAATAATTAAATTTATTTAATTTTTTACAATTATTATTTTTAGTTTTTAAAATTTATTTAATTTTTCATATTCATGATCTCCATGTTAGAGATTACATATCCTTAAAAATTATGTCTTAAAATCCATTTCAAAAATAGATTTATTAAGAGGTTTGCATTTCTACATATGCGGGCTTGGCCGCATAGAAACCGGGTCTTTTAGAAAATGCTTACCCGAAACGAGGATCACTGATCCATATAGGATTCAATGGGAAACCCAATTCTTTTATAGAATAGGGAATCTGTCCAACCCATTGTTCGTAAAATTGCCTGATCTAGCAACTAACCGCACGGTTAGATCGGAACCAGCCAATGGCCGATTCCGGTTTTGGGCAGTTGGGGTGATCAATTGATATTTAAAAATAAAAATAAAAAAAAAATGTATATAAATTCTTAAAAATAAGGAATTTGATTTGTAATACATTTTTAAATATTATTTGCATTATGGTAAAGATTAAAAATTGGTTTGGTCATAATACTCACTTTTATATTTTTCCATCTTTTTTAGAAAATTTAAAAAATAGCCATTGGAAAATATAAAATGGGTTACAATCCATTTTTTCATTAATTTTCAACTTCATTTGAATGTGTTTTGTTATAATCATTTTTTATATGTTTTTCATATTTTAATAGATTTTTTTTTTGTATTTTTTTTTATTTTTTTTCAACACTTTTTTTACCGTCTCGAACTTGCCCGGTTAGAATGGTTGAATTAGTCGGGTTATTGGTTAGGCCGGTTAAACTGGAAATAATCGGTTAAATTGTTTCTAGGCCTATGTCCAATTAACCGTTCCAATTCGATTTTGCGAATGCTAGTTCGACACAGCAGGAATAGCTCAATTTTGTCATTGGCTTGGCGATCTATGGCCCGTAATGAAATCGAAGATCTAGGTGAGAGAACCAGGCAATTCTCATTTTAGATAATATTCATTTTTTTAAGTGGTTATCACAAGATTCCCAAATCCCAACATTTTAAACCGGGTAGCCCTATCTTAAACTACTGGTAGCCAATCTGATTATCTTCTTATAAACCCCGTTCATCTTCTTCAATTAACAGCCTCTTATCTTAACCTGGGTTCATCTTCAATTAGCTAAACAGCTTCTTCTTCAATTAGCTAATAGCCTTCTATCTTAACCTGGGTTTATCTTTTTCAATTATAGTCCTATCTTCTGCCCTATCTTAAACTGGGTAGCCCTATCTTAACCTATTGGTAACCTTATCTTCTGCTGCTACAGTTGTCGCCTAGTTATTATTTATTTCTAGATATACAAAAATTTAATTTTTGGGTATCTATTATTTCAAAAAAATAAACGAATTCTCTGCTAAGATCACAGTTGTCGTTCTAGCTATTGTTTATTTCTAGATATACAAAGATTTATTTTTTGAAAATTTTTAGATATACAAAGATTTATTTTTTGGGTAGCTATTATTTCAAAAAATAAACGAATTATCAACTAAGATAATAGTTGTCGCTTTAGCTATTGTTTATTTTTAGATATACAAAGATTTATTTTTTGGGTAGCTATTGTTTCAAAAAATAAACGAATTTTCAGCTAAGATAATTTTTTCTGTTAAGATCTATTTATTTTTTGCTGCTATTGTTTGCTGATAAATTCGAAATATTTGAATTCTCTCGTCAAATCAGTGTCATTGAATTATTATTTTTTTTAACTTTTTAAAATTAGTTTACCTCGTCACTCTCCTCCAATGCCCCCAGCATAATTTCTCCTCCAATATAGTCATAAAGCCTTTTAAAATACCAAATTTCTCCAAACTTTCTTTTTTTTATCAAATTTCTCCAATTTTTTTTTTTCTTTTGAATTTACCCATGAAAGTTTTCTGAAGAGAGATATTCTCCAAACTTTTTTTTCTTTTGAATTTGCCTAGAAAAGTTTTTTGGAGATAGATAAACGAAAGGCTTTAGCAAAAAAAAAAACATAAAAAATATGATGGCCTAGCATAATAACAATATGTTATTCTAAAGTGTTCAACATCTTGAAAACATTTGATTCCAAATCAAGACATACAAAAAGTGTAGCTAATTCTTATGCCTAATGCAATTATAAAATTTAAACTACATACTAATAGAGATTATATGCTCAACCATTTCCCAAATTTCTTCTTGACACTGTCAAACAATAACAATGTATTTCCCACGTTGCATCTAAATACTACCCAAACAATGACAATCCATTTGCAAGTAACGTATTATACCAGTAATATATTTCACACAAAATATAAAACCTTTCCTTTCCTTGAGATACTCCGAAACCACCAAGTTTAATGTTATTTTTTGGCAATTGATAACTGACAAGAGTAAATTGTTTGCTGAAAAGCTATCACAGATAGTTATAACCAAAAAAAAAAAGTCAAGAAACTAAAACCTATTTTTTGGTCATTGATAACCGACAAGAGTAAATTGTTTGCTGAAAAGCTATCACAGATCGTTATAACCAAAAAAAAAAAAGTCAAGAAACTAAAACCCATCTCAGCTTGTAAGGAAAACGCAAAATGAGTATACAAAACTGTTCTCTCTTACATAAAAAAGGGAAGAAATTGTTTCCTAACTCTTGGAATGAATCTCCCCAATGAGAACTCATTCATCTGATGAAGAGGATGAATGTAAAGGGTATCTTGAAAGGATATCTGCCCAAGTGCTATCCCCATCTGTCACGTCCTTCACAACTGCTGCTACTTCGTCCACGCTAACACGAACCTGATCCTTAGAGTCTCTCTCTCGAACTGTCACAGAGTTCGATGAGTCCACAGTGATAGCAAATGGAACCCCCAGTTCATCAGTTCTAGCATAGCGCTTCCCAATAGAGGTACCAGTTATGTCAATCTTATGAGATATGCGAGCACGTGTCAAGGCCTTGGAGATAAGTTTAGCAACTTCTTCATATTCTGGTTTTTGAATCAACGGGAAAACAGTGCACTTAATGGGAGCCACCAGGGGAGGGAACTTAAACACATTGCACTGTTCATCTCCAGCTTTGTTCGGTCTAGTGTAGAAGGAATGCTCAAAAAGGCAGTATATGATACGGCCTATCCCAAATGATGGTTCAATCACAGAAGGAGTGAAAACCTTTTGATGTTCCTTCTTTTTCTCTTTAGAGATAGAGACCATGTTCTTTGTTAGGGTGACAGATTGCCCAAGGGTGCAGACAAAGAATTCCACCTCCCCTTTGGCTTCTAAGTTGGCCTTCACTTCCATAGCCTCTGCTTCTTTCATGACCTGCTCCACAACCAGGAAACGAATAAACAGATATAGGGCCAAAAGAGACCAACACTGAAAGGATTTAATTCAATATAAAGACATTAAAAAAAAAAAGAACGCACGGAAGATTCAAATGAAGCTCACCTCAAGTGCTTCAATCACTTTCTTTTGATTGCCCTTGAAAACCAGCCCAACCTCCTTCTTTGATGGGGTGATAACCAATTTCTGCAATGGTGTATGCAATAAATCGGCAGTATAGATTCTATGCTTGTATGTTCATGTATAACTCCTCAAATATTAATTCCTTTTATGAATTATCACAGTCACTCATAATTATGTAACCCAAGAAAAGTCCCACATGTTTCTTGAGAGCCATAATAACTAGAAGTTTGCTCCATTTGATAAAGTTAACTTTTTATTTATTTAAGTAGCACATGTCGGGACTAGTGCTACTTTGACACTTTGCTCATGTCCAACACCTGGATGTATTGGATAAGGTCAGAGCTCCTATTTGCACACGCTGTGTTATGGAAAAAGCATGGTCATATCCCCCTCAATGACCTCACCTGAACATCACCCCCATATGGAATTTTCGGTGCAACATCCCACCACCAAACAACCGAAAAAAAGAGAAGTTTGGGAGCATTTGGAACTTTCATTTTAGAAAACAGCATAAATGCATAGTAGCCCTGTTTAATACACATGGAGTTTTCCTATGGAAAATACCAACAATGTAGAGCTTTGATTTGGAAATGAGTAACACTTTGCATCAGCTTTTTTTTTTTTTTTCTTCCAGGCCTTCCATTTCAATTTGCATCTTAAAATTCTTCCTGAGCTCTCATGCAATGCAAGTTCCAGCAACTTGTGTGCTTGTGTTTGTGAATGTGTGCTCATATTTTTTGAGAAAGAGGAAATCCTAAATATATGTACTTACCTCTACTTCTCTAGGTTCTGCAAATTTCTCTTGAGCAACTAGCTGGACACCACTTTTCTCCTGGAAAGCAAAAAAAAAATACAAAATGGTTCATCAATGTTCATCATCATTATATTATTCGAGTAAGATGAATCTAGAAAAATGTTAGCTTGTAAGGGAGAAAAAGAAAAAAACTGTGTCGAGCTTCTTACTGTGTGAGCACGGAGATCATATGCAGAGCGATCTGCAATACCAACACACTCAATCCAGCCATAAGAGGACTCAATTTCAGCGTCCCAACAATCTGCAGCATAGTGAGCCATTTCATTGGCCATATGCTGCCTAAAGCGCAATCGTTCTTTGTCAATCCCAAGAGACGTCATGAAAAGGTATGTCCTCCCCATGAAATAACCCAATGTCTCATTGTTGATGATTCCCTAGTGAACCAAATGAAATTCCTGTTTATCGATCAAACCAAGTAATTGGAACATTCACCAGAAAAATTGGCTTGTGATTCATTTCTGAAAATATTAGTCACAAAACACTAGTAGAACCAAATGGCTATTGGAAACAAACACTTGGAAAAGTAGCTAATATCTCAGAAGACTGCCATGGGCAAAACTCACAAAACAGCTAGTCATTTGCAAAAGTAACATGAGAGAGAGAGAGAGAGAGTTAGTTTCTTCTAAAACCCTTATTTCTAATTGGTACCACACATTTGCTACTTTGGACGCCTCCCGTCCTTATCAATAAAACCATTAAAGGTACAGGAACCTTTTTAACTGCATCACCAAGCTGGAGCTTCTTAAATGGTTTTGCCTCCTTTTGCTCATCTCTTGGGTACATGAAGAATTCCAGATTAGATACATCCTTAAATTTTGGATGAGATTTATCATCAGGGTCCACAAAATGCTCAATCTCGGCTAAGGTGAACTCCCGAACCCTTAGGAGACCTTGTCGAGGAGATATCTGAAAGGCAAAAACCAAGTAAGCCTCAAGATACAGGAAATAATAAAACTTACGAGAGACCAGGAGAGGCCACCATCTTAGGTATCTAAACTGCATGTATACATTTTGCAAAAACAAGGAAAAACAAGCCATTATAACTTTGAATGGTAAACAGTGTGCGTCAAAATATTATCTAAAATAAAGGTATGGGAAAGTACAAAACTTCCAAACTTATATCCATAGTTAGGTTCAGAGTCCAGTCCTTCTTAGTTCATTTATTATGTTTGCATTTTATTTTTTGGTATATTTTTCTCATTGGATAACATTACTAGCATTCATCAGAAAATAACCCTGACAAGCAATACCTCATTTCTGAAAGCCTGACCAATTTGCGCTGCGGCAAAAGGAAGCTTGTTACCATTGTAATAGTACAGATCCTTGAAATTGACAAATATACCTTGGGCAGTCTCGGGGCGCATGTACCTGCAGAGCATAGATAACCCATCTCATTAACAAGCTCCAAGGACTGGAGATGCAAATGGTGTACGGCAGGTTTTTTTTTTTTAAAATTGTGTACTGCAGTTTTTTTTTTTTTGAAAATTAAATTGTGTACCATAGTTTTTTTTTTATTGAATCTGGAAAATGGTCTACCACAATTTTCTTTAGGGAACATAAAAAGAATAAAAGGCGGCTAGAACACTAGCATAAATCATGGTGGTGCTCAGGAAGTTCGGAATTTCAAAAGTGATAGGACTATTATATTTTATAAGTGACTATTTCACACCAGTCTATTTGACTCATTTTTACTAAAATACCCCGATATCTTTAAATACCGGATTGGGGTCAAATAGTTATTGAAAAATACTTGTTCAGGCTTGTTTTTGAGAAACCAAGCTTCTGGGGGTCACATGCAATATTTATGCAAGTTTTCAAACTTCCAAAATCTTTGCTCCTCTTTTTGAAATTCACAAGGGAAGGGAAAAAAAAATAGTATGAGCTATTGAAATTCTTACCCAGGACTCAGGCCAGAAGGGCCTATAGAGGTCGCGAACATCAAATTAAAAGGGTATGGATCTGAGAGAGGATTCTTCGTATCTGGCGCAACTATACCATACTCCTTGAGTTTTGAACCCAATTCCTTGGCAGAGAGGTCATCCAAAGTCGCCATAACGCGCTTATATTCCATGGCCTTTTCCTCAGGTAAAGTGAGGTCCTTCTCAAGCTTATCCTTGCAAAAGTCCTTGAGCAAGTGATCTGCTCTGTAACATGTACCTGTTTTCTCATCCTTTACCATAAGATCTGTAAATTTGTCGACATGACCTGAAGCTTTTAACACAACTTCAGGAGTCACACAAGGACAATCCACTTCCAACATGTTTTCCACTAGGACAAAGTGCTGCAAAGGGAAGTAGGTAAATCAGTCACACAACTTCAGGAGTCACACAAGGACAGTCCACTTCCAACATGTTTTCCTCTAGGACAAAGTGCTGCAAAGGGAAGTAGGTAAATCGGTAACAACATATTTACTGAACATTAGTAAAAGTCACATTATGATTCCTTTTTCGACATGTGACTGACTTCAGTGATTTTAATGTGATGCACTTTATTTGAGACCGAAGGTTCCTTCATAAGTTTATCTAACGAGAAACAAGGTTTAGTATAGCATCTTAATCCTGAAGGTTAAGACATGGTCATGCTGATTGCTTGAAGATTTCACATTCAAACTCTTCCCATCTTCAAGCAATTGCACTTGCATGTCTCATGTCTGTCAAGATTTATACCATGCAATTCCACAGATGAACTTTTGCAAGATAAAGCTCGTAATAATCTGATGGCACACACATGACTGTAGTAAACAAAGATAAGCATTTCAAATAATCAAGAGTACCACAACATTCATCCTCCAACTTTAGCTTTAAAAATATGATGAAGATAGGAACAGCAAGGCATGCCCAACAAAGGAAAGACATAACAGGAAAAATGCAGTCACCAAAGCCAATTAAAATCAATATCACTTTCTATAGCAGATCAAACATTGAACATTCAGGACTGCAGAAAGAGTATAATATGTCCCAAGAGGAATGAAAAATACAATCAAGTGAAGCATCAATCAACTTTGATGACACAGTCAAAACTTGCCATTTTGTTGATTGAAGAATCTGGCAACAAGAAGAGCAACAACCCAATCATACATGAAATAAAGCAATGTATTTAAACCAGTGACAAGGCCTCAGCCAAGTAACTCGGCCTCAGCAACCTGCCGAGGCAAGTTTATGTGCCCAACTCGCCCTCCTCAAGATCCCTTAAAAAACCACAAATTTTGTTTTAGAAAAAAACACTGATATATGATTTGCAAATATGTTTATATATGTTTTTAGGTTTTTTGTGATGATTTGTGAACTTTTCTTATTATATGTTTTTATTTATTTTTCTTTTTTCTTTTTCTAACATGTTTCGATGTACAAATTATTTTTTTCAGTAATTTGTCTTTTATATAACTTTTTCATCTTTTATAAACTTTTAATTATTCTAGTACTTATTTTAGTTTGCTTATTTTACTTATTTTTCTTTGGGCCTATTCTGGTATTGTGCAGGTCTCGGCGAGTCCACTTGGGCTCGGTTAAAGTCACTTGGCTCTGACCAAGGCCAAGTCCAAGGCCTGAGCTGAGTTTCAGAACATTGAATTAAACAAAGGATCGTGCATAACAAAGGAAAAAAAAGGTATGATGACACCTCAGTGTACATTGCCACTACAGCAGTTCCAAAGCTCAATATGAGCAATATGAGAAAACTAGTGCATGCAGGCAAGGACTTCTTCAGAAAATTAAGAAGTGTTCGGTGTTCACACTAGGGCTAATATAAAAAGCAATAGACTAGCTACAATAGTTTACCAAGGCATTATTTTGGTTTTGGCTTTTCATTCTTTAGGTATCCAATTCTGCCAATATAGACATTACTTTTGAATTTTTTATCAATCTCAATATTGGTAGTATCTTCTTTACTTTTGTAAATCAAAATTGATAGTTGTATTTTATTTTTCAATTTTTCCTTACAGCCGACAATTGATCATCTAGGATACATGCACGTGGTTGTAGAGTTTGGATACCTCAATCTGATTCTTGAATTCAATGTTGGAATTTCATCTAGAAGCATTATGCGGTTATACTTTAAGAATTGAAATCTTTTTTCAAGAAAATGCTAACAAATGGGGTTCAGATTCAAGGCCAAAGCTGGCCCATTTATTATGCAAGCTCACAAATCGAGTCTAAATCCAGTTAATTGGAGAGCTAAAAACTTGAAGACGGTTTTTGATAAAAAAATTTAAGGAAATAAATTGCAGTTGTACTAGGCTAGGAGTGAAACACTCTACGCCAACTCAGAGTTCTGCAGGTTCTTCCCTTTTGAATTTCTCATATTCCGCTCACATTTTCTTACAACTTCCACTTCATATTAATTGAAAAGGATATCAACAGAAAAATAAACAAAAGCAAATTTACAGAAAACCAAGATAGAAGATATAAAAAACAAGAAGTAAGTTTAAAAAAAAATGAAGGAAGATCGCGGGTATATAAAAACCTAGATAGAAGATATAAAAAACAAGAAGTTTAAAAAAAAATGAAGAAAGATCTGGGCTTTATAATCATGCTCTCTAATTATACCAGTTCCAGCAACTAAACCAACAAAAACCAAAAAGTAATTAGAAACCAAAACTCATAAGCAAGGTAAGTGACCTGAAAAATATAAATGACACATAAAATGGCAAAAAAAATGCAGATATAACCCCAAATTCCACAAATATCCAAGCTTCTGCAACTCAAGAGATTATTGACAATAATACATCATCAAAATCATACAACAAATCAAAATAAAATAAAAAAAGAAAAAAACTTGTAATAATTTAATAAGCAAACCCCACAATAACACCAGAACAAAACAATGGAACGCAATTAAGAAAAGAAAAAAAGATCAAAAGAGTAAATCACAAGGAAATAAAAAACAAAATCAATAAAAGGAATAAGATTGAAGTAAAAAGTAACGAAACAAACCTCACGCCAAAAACCTAGAACATTAGACTTGACTGCACAACCCGGTGGCCCATAATCATACAACCCCGCAACACCCCTATAAATCTTGAAAGATGGAATATAAAACAGCCTTCTCTCTAGAGCATTCACCACACCCTGCCTAAAAGCGTCCCTATTACCACCTCCATTCTCCGAAACCCTAGAATTGAGCTCCTTAGAGAGCACTTCGACCTCCACTTTCATGGCCTTGAGCGAGTTCAAGGTTGATTCCACCTCTGATGGGCTTGCGCCGCTAGCCTTCAAGAAACGAATTGCTTGGCCCTGAGCTTCTGCTGAGGCTCGCTTCTGGGCTAAAACTGCTTTCAGGGAATCGATGGAGGTCTCAGCCATGGCAATTCTGGTAGGGTTTGTGGAGGTGGAAAAGTAGGGCTTCGTGGTGAAGTTGTAGGCGTGGGGCGATAGAGAAGTGTGTGGAGGGGTTTGGGGTAAAAAGTCTGGAAGCCGTCTGGAAGAGAGAGAAAGAAAAACGAAAAGTAAAATTCATAGAGAGAAAAAGAGGAGAGAGAGAGGTTCATGGTTTCGGTGTCGGGGAAGTTATGTGGTCGATAACTCCTAGGATATACGGTAAATATTTTATATTTATATTTATATCGGTAATAATTTAAAGAGTAACGATCTTATTAGATCTTCTTACACTTTGTAGGATCTTAATAGATCACAATTAAATTCTGCACAAATTTTTAAAAAAGTTATTGTGGAATTTGATTTTTTTTAGAAATAAGTTTTAAATTTAATGATGATCTTTTTGAGTCGTAATTCGTAGGTGCGGTAGAGTCTAATAGGATCATTACTCATAATTTAAATATAAATATATAATATTTATAACATACTATAATATATAATATACTGTATTTTATATTTATTTTTAATATATATATATCTATATATATTTTATATTACATAAATACATATTTTATATAACATAGTATAATATATAATATAGTGTATTTTATATTTATTTTATTATATAATGAAATATATTATATTACATAAATGTATAATATATATATATATATAACATAAAAATTTATTTTTTATTTATTTTATTATATAATATATATATAATATTATATTATACATTGTATTTTATATTTATTTTATTATATAATATATATTTATATGAAATAATATAGTATATTATATATTGTATTTTCCATTTATTCTATTAATATATATTTTTATTATATAATATTATAAGAGTAATGACCCTATAGGACCCTCCTCACCCATGTGTGTAGGACCTCAAAGATCACTATTAAATTTGGCATTGATCTCTAGAAAAGTTATAACATGGATGTGGGATTTGACTTTTTTAGAGATCCGTATCAAATTTAATGGTAATCCTTTCAGGTCCTACACATATAGGTGGAAGTGGTTCCTATAAGATCATTTCTCAATATTATAAATATCTATTATATAAATAAAATAGAAAATATATTATATATTATACAATGAATTATATTGTATATTATACAATAAAATATATACATTTTATATATGAGGGGGGTTCATTCAAAAAAAAAAATTTCTTCTAACCCTTAGGTTTGAAGTTCAATTTTTTTATCAAATTAAGAAGTTCTAAATTTTCAAGAAGATATTTCCTGTTATCAAACATGCTTCTTTTGGGTACTTAGAAATATATTATGTGGAAATAGATTACAAGGAAATATGACGTTTTGACTATTTGGTACGTTTAATCCTAAGTAAATAGAAAGAGATTACGCGAGATTTCTCAAAAAAAAATTAGGAAATCTATTATACGTGGTGATAGGTAAAAAATCTATTTCGAGAGTGGTGAGTAATTTTAAGAAATCTTTCATATGCATTTTTTACATACCTATCCTTGATTAAAAAAATCTTCTAAACCCACTCTTCATAATAACTAGGTTATCCCTCCCTTTTTAAACTACTCTAAAGACGTCATTTGTCATATAAAAACAAACATAATAAAATTATCTGAAGGCATCAACTATCATATAAAAATAAAAATCAGCAATAGTAACATTATGTGATCCCTCCCTTTTTAAGCTCGTCCCCTCTGCATCATTGTCATATAAAAATAAAAAATAATAAAACTAAAAATCAGTAATCAATGATAAATTACACAACATAATCATAATAAAAAATTTCACACAATATAATCCTTACAAGAGATTACTAAAATCTATATTCAAATAACATACTTCTTTAGTCTCCTCCGATACCTCAAAATTTTATACTGAAATTATCAAACCTTCTAGTTTACTAATCAAACTTGTTCCCAAATTTTAACTCGTAACTTACCGATTTTGAATTTAGTATCATAAATTTATTGTTTATTTGAAATTATATAGAGAGACACTTGAAAGACTTTTATATAAAAAATAAAAATAATGCCTATCATAATAAAATCATGTTATTCCAATCATATTGTTCCAATGACTTATCATATTGAAACCAATGTCATGTTAGAAAACCTGGGATTGCATATAAGTACCAAAGGCACTTAAAATAAGTAGGAAATAGTGTCATGACGGTAAAATGGTACAAGTAATTATTAGAAAAAAATTTTGGAATGGTGATAATGTTATTAATAGAAATCTTTTTGGAATGATGTGATATTTTAATTCAGTATTTTAGTGGAATTTTGTGACAAAAAAGAAGTAAATGATAATTCTGCATTTTAGTGGAATTTTATGACGAAAAAGAAAGAAATGATAGTTTATAAGCACGTGGTAAAATGTTGGTAAGGCATTTCCTATATTTCTTCTAGACATAGCCAAACAATAACAATGTATTTTTAGATTGCATCTAACTACTACCCAAACAGTAACAATCCATTTACAGGTAATGTATTACGCAGTAATACCAATAATATATTTGACAGACAGTATATTTCTAAGTATCGAAATGGCACCTTAATCGTAAGGAAAGATTAAGCGGATTTTCTTAGATGTGGTGATAAGTGGAAAATCTATTATCCTAGATTAAAAAAATCTTCTTCCGTCTTCATAATAAGTACCATAAATGATCCCTCATTTTTTTAAGCTCTTCCCTTCATCTGAAGGCATCAGTTGTCATATAAAAACAAAAATAATAAAAATAAAAATAAATAATCAATGATAAATTACACAACACAATCATAATAAAAAATTTCACACAACATGATTCTTATAAGAAATTACTAAAATCTCAATTGAAATAACATACCTCTTTAGCCTCTTCCAATACCTCAAAATTATATACTCCGATTACCAAACCTTCTCGTTTACTAATCAAACTTCTTCCCATTTTTTAACTCGTACCATAGATATTTTGAATTTAGTATCATAAATTTATTGTTTATTTGAAATTATATAGAGAGACACTTGAAATAGTTCTACTAAAAATAAATAAAAATAAGGTTTATCATAATAAAATCATGTTATTCCAATCATATTGTTCCAATGACTTATCATGTTAAACCAATGTCATGTTAGAAAACGTGTGATTCCATGTAAGTGCCAAATGCACGTAAAATAAGTAGGAAATGGTGTAATGATGATTGTAAAATGGTACAAGTTATTATTAGAAAATATATTTGAAATGGTGGTGATGTTATTATTAGAAATCTTTTTGGAATGGTGTGATAATGATTTTAATTCCGTATTTTAGTGAAATTTTGTGACAAAAAAGAAAGAAATGATAATTCTGCATTTTAGTGGAATTTTGTGACAAAAAAATAAAGAAATGATAGTTTATAAACATATGCTGGTAAAATATTGGTAATGCATTTCCTATATTTTTTCTAGACATAGCCAAACAATAACAATGTATTTCCCATGTTACATCTAAATACTACCCAAACAGTAACAATCCATTTACATGTAATGTATTATGCCAGTAATATATTTTACAGACGATATATTTTCAAGTATCCAAACGGCCCCTACGATGAATGAAATAGAAAGATGAATGGAAAATGTTGAAGCTCCATTGGCCGGAGAATAATAGCGTATCTCTATCTGTTTGGGTTCTCCCTCCGATAGCGGCCAATAAAGAAACTCTGATAGCAACCCATCCTCTTTGTCCCAAATCTCCCTCATGTCGTTGCTTAGTGTAACAAATTACCTGAACTATCTATTTTCAACATTTTCAAGTGTTTGTAGATCTACTTGATCTGAAAATTTCAATTTTATAATTAGAATTGATTATGGATTTTCAAGCCATCCCTTTTGACACCACCTTTTTATTTCCTCTCTTTTTGTTAGCTTAAATCTTAATCCTGATATTGGGATGGATGGATATAAAAATAAAAACATACTTTCAAGTTTTAAAATAGTGCATCTTGTAACAAATTATATAAAATATTTATTTGTTAATATTTTTTAGTGTTCGTAGATATGCTTGATTTTCATCTGTTTAAAATTTCAATTCCATAATAAGAGTTTGATATGGATTTTCAAACCATCCCTTTTGAAACTACCTTTTATTTCCTCTCCCTTTGTTATTTTCATTCTCTTTCAATTTTCATATCCACTCCCTAAGATTTAATCCTGATCTCGAGATGGATGGATATTAAAAATATATATATAAAATAATGCATTTTGTAACAAATTATACATGCTATTTATTTTTAATATTTTCAAGTACTTGTAGATTAGTTGAATATGGATATTGAAGCATCCCTTCTGACACCAAAACTATATCCTCTAGCAAAATTTAAAAGTACGCCTTAATTGTATAGTTAAAGTTGGCAACTTATTCAAACCTCACCCTTTTTATAGAGATATGTCTTGTAATAAATTATGTCGACCCCCAATGTTTTTTCAAATTTTCAAGTTTTTGTATATCTACTCGATCCGCAAAAAAAATAGGTTTCATAATTAAAGCTGAACATAGAGTTCAAAGCCATCCTTTCTGACACCCAAATTACATCTTCAGAAAAATATAGAGGTATGATGTACTTATACGATATAAGGTGAGCACCTTATACAAACCTCACCCTTTTATAAAAAACATTTGATCTCTCTTTCAATTTTTTACTATGAAGGGGACATAATCCTAACATTTTATGACCCCTACTGAGTTTTTATAGAGATAATGCTTTTCTAGTGGACTCTGAGCATCTTCTCAGTGCTCAGCAATAAGGAGCACCATGAAGGCAAGATTAGAATTAGAGCTTTTGGGGTTAGTGGTCAACGCTTGAATTTCCATTTGGGTACTCATACACTAAGCAAAACACTAATCTACCACTCAAATTGTTGCACCAATCACTAGAAGACCTTGTGCAAAGCCATTGTTTGCCTATATTCTCCTGTAATAATCTTTTAGAATTTTAAAAAGTTAACTAGAAAATGTGTATAGAAGTTTAAAAATTAAATTACATTATATAGATAATAGCTTAGGGAAATTTTTTTAGGGGATTGTATATAATGAGACAATTTACCTTTCGTACAAGGTCACAGTTACATATAATCATCCGATGTGAAATCTGATCGCTTGGGTATTTAACAAAGTTCGAGAAAATTTCTTTTGAACTTTGAGTTTGGTCAATGAAATAAATGCAGCTACTTAATTTCACATCTAATGGTCAAGATTAATTGTGACTACCTTGTACCAAAGATAAATAATTTTATTATGCACTTTCCGATTTGTTAGTGGCAATGTAGTTTCTTCTTGTTTGTGATGAGGAGCGGTAGCAGCCTCTTTGCTGCCCAAAAACTTTCATGATTTAAGATATTTAATAAGAGATCTTGATTTATGAAGCAAATGAAACAAATTTAGAACAAAGTAATAAACAACAAAGTATTAGAAATAGGATAAGGAGCATGAAGTGTGAATCTAATTGCAAAAATAAAAGATAAAAAAACTAAAACGTTAAAGACTGATATAATGCACTGGCGCCCTACCCAACTTCAGATCAATGGACATCAGCCCACTAATTGCAACATTCCTCTTTCTATCACTAACTGAAATTTTTTTTGCATCAAATTTTAAGTAAAATATCAAGAAAATAGTCAAAATCAACTTAAAAATTTAATGATATGATTAATCAACAATTTTCTAAATAAAGTGGTTACCTCTTGAAAATCCTTGCATCCTTCAAGAATTTGTTAGAAAAAAATGCCCAAAATTACACTTCTTGTGTATTTTAACAATTGAACGCGTCTCTATCAATGGGTTGAATAACCTAAATACCCTGCACGGTTTGGGTTCCAAACACATAACAGGCTTTTTTCATTTAAAATGATGTTCTAGGTTTATCTTATTTGGTAATATGGCTCCACTCGAGTTGGAAAAGGGGTTGGGGTTGTGGTGGGTGGTGGTAGCAACCCCATACTTTTGTAATCATGTTGCGGATTTTATTCCCACTGATACCACCCTACTAACAACTTCAAAAACCTAAGTCGTAAACTATTTTAAAAAATAAGTAGAGGCTGCTTTCTCCACTGAATTAACCAAAAAAAAAAAATCACCCCGAACTATAAAGACAATATTAGGATCTTAATAAGACATGACATTTAGGTTATTTGGCAATGGAAGAGCTACATAAATGAAATGACTATTTGAAAAACCAACTCCTGAACTAAAAATGGGTAGGGGCCGCCTTCCCCACTAAATTACCCAAAAAAAAAAAGGGTCACCCGAGCTACAAAGACAGGATCTGAATAAGACATGCCACTTAAGATACTTGGCAATGGAAGAGGTACAAAAATGAAAGAACTTATACAGAGTAACCGCATTGCTGATAATTTCATTATTTTTGGGGTGCTTTTGACCATTTTAATGTTATTTTTCCGAGTTTATGTCATTAGTTTTTATTTCTTTTGCCAATTAAAAAAAAAAAAATCTTGAATATGTAATTATTAATTTTCCTCTTGCTTTTCCCAATGGTAACATCAGAAAGAAAAACTTTGGAACATCACCCAAAACGAAAAGAAAAAGGACTTTTGAACATTTCAAAAGCAAAATTTATGAGAATTAAATGTTCTCAACCACCCAAGTCTTCATAAGAACTTACTAAATTGAACATGGGGGCCTCTTCATTTTCTTTGATTATCAAGTTTCGAAGACAGGTCACCAGTTATCAAGTGGCATAGAGAGATTTGTCAAAGTCTTTCCAAGCTTCCCATAGTGAGATTTTCTCAATCCCATTATAGTCTGGAAAATGAGGTCAAAGAAGCAACAGAAAAAGCATATGCTTGCTTCAACCATCCATATTATTGGGCTAAAGACCACATTTCCTAATTTCTTTACACTTTTTCCATGCATCCACCAAAAATTTTCTCTTTTCTTTCTATTTGAAGTTTTTTTTTTTTTTTTCTTCTTCACAATTTTTTACAAACAGGTAATGATACAATGCACACCCATTAAGTTTTACAAACTAAATTTTTCAATATTGATTGAAGAAGAATGGGGGAACAAAGCCCTGTGAACAAGAAAACAAAAGAAGCCTAATTGACTCAGCCACCTTTTGTTACAACAATTCACCTCAAACCACAGAGACATAGTGAGACCTCCTTTCCCGATGCTTTAGGATGGTGAACAGAACACAAACTCAAACGCACAGGTGGTTGCTCATGATGAAACCCATTGTATCTGATGGGCTTGCACCTGGCCTGCATGAGAGAAGCATGCTACAATTGGCATATATGCTAACATAAATGTAAATTCAAATAGTGTCATAAAAGAACCACATAACCTTGTAAATATATATACATATAGATATTCACCCATATTTTACACAGCTTATCACTGTTATCAAGACCGGACAGGAGCGATAGGAGTGCCAATTGGGGGCCTTGGCCTGTGTGGTCTATACCAAAAACTGCATTTGGTCAAAAACCAAGGTTTGACCAGCCAAACTAGCCATTTTGATCGGTTACATTGACTAAACAAGGTTAGACAACTTTTTTTGTAATATACGTCATTTTTTAAACTACTTCCTACGTTCTCTATATGGTTTAGAAAATCCGGTTACAAGTGGTCGAATTGGTGTTGACGGGATCAAACCCTGTGACGACCCTAAATTTTTTTGAAAAATAATAATACTCACAATAATAAGAATAATAAAATTAATTAAGTAATTAAAATAATATATATATATAAGTATTATAATAATAATAAAATAATAATATTAGTAACAAAATGATAATAATAATCGTAATAAAAATAATAATAATAGTGATAATAAAATAATAGTAAGAATAATAAATAAATAAATGAATAAAGGCATAAATTTAAATGATGGTCCATGTGGTTACAATACACCATGAGACCACCATTATACTCACACGTTTTGCATCAAAACATTTAGAAATTAAATAAAAATGAAAAAAATGAGGTATCTCGTGATTAGGGTGAGGAGTCTCATAAGAAGGGTGAGGTGTCTCATGATTAGGGTGAGATGGCTCATGGAGGCTATTATTCAAATAAGGAAAAAGACACATGGATGCCACGTATAATGTATATATTGAATCCTACCTTTTATAAATACCCCATTGACCCTTAAAACATGGCATCAATTGGTCATCCCTCACTCTCCTCTCAAATAGGAGCCTCTCTCTCTCTACGTAAGTTCATTCTCTCCCTCTTTTCCATCTCAATTTCAATTATACTTTTATCATAAGTATAATAGTTTCAATAATTTCATCATACTCTCATCATATTCATAATACTCTCATCATGAGCATAACGAAATTATTGAAAACGATTATGTTCATGATGAGAATATAATTGAAATTGAGATGGAAAAGAGGGAGATAAGGAACTTATGTGGAGAGAGAGAGGCTCCTATTCGAGAGGAGAGAGAGAGAGGAGCAATGATGCTATGTTTAAAGAGTCAATAGCTTCAATATACACATGACACATAGCATCCACACGTCTTTTTCCTTATTTGAATAATAGTCTCCACGAGCCACCTCACCCTAACCATAAAGCATCTTACCCTTCGAATGAGACACCTCACCCTAATCATGAGACACCTCATTTTTTTTATTTTTTTTTAATTTCGAAATTTTTTGATGCAAAAGGTGTGGGTATAATGGTGGTCCCATGGTGTATTGTAACCACATGGACCATCATTTAAATTTATGCCTTTATTCATTTATTTGTTTATTATTAATATTATTCTTACTATTATTTTATTATCACTATTATTATTATTATTATTATTACTATTATTATTATTATTATTATCATTTTGTTACTAATATTACTATTTTATTTTATTATTATAATATTGATATATATATATATATTATTTTAATTTAATTTATTTTATTTATTATTATTATTATTATTGTTATTATTATTTTTCTAAAAAAAATTAGGGTCTTCACAAACCCCTAATCAATGTGGTGGCTCGCCGATTCTGAGAAGACCGTTAATGTTTCACACATTTTGGTGTGATTGTTATAATCACAATAGATGATACTAACCATCTGGAGAAAAAGACTAGTATGATCTCCAAGTAAGAAACAACAGATATATGCTTTCCAGTATGGATATTTTTCTTTTACTTCCCACAAATTGAGAACAAGTCTTTCAATCCATGAATACTTATAGAGGGACTAAGTTAAATAAATAAGCTACAAAAGAACATAATTACAGAAACATCAAGTTTTGAAAATTAATGACACAATTATTTTCTCCTTTCTTTCTTCCAAACTTTTCCCTTATGCCTTTAGCTTTTTCCCTTTTTCTTTTTTATCTAATTTGCTTCTCCAAGAATTTTCTGCCACATTTTGAAGAAAACCTTGATTTTGAAAACCTCCAAAGTACGATTATAAAAACCCCAATTTTTTTATTAACATCACAGACATCAACTCACTTTTTTGTAATGGTACAGTAGTGAGATCTGAGTTTTCCAGCCCGGACGTCCTCAATATACTGCAAGCAGACAAGGTAAAGAAAAGTAAATGAGTTCATAGTTTCCAACACTCCTAACAATTTCCATGTCAATGTTTTTTCTTTTAATAATTCAAAGGGTACATCTTGTTTGGTGTTTTCGGACAAACGTCAAGAACCCACACTCTTGACCTCCCTTACCAAAACCATGTGTGTACCAGCAACCCAATTCCCATCTAAACATTCCTTAGCAATTTGCATATTCTCAGTATTACACTCAAAAGAAAAAAGGCAATTAAATTTAGCAATTGAAACAAGCATTCAACTAACATGATAGCTAATAAGACTTGCAAGCTGGAAAAAAAAAAGCTAAGGCTAAAAAGGTAATTTGGTGGACTTTATGAAGCAAGTTATATTGGCTGCTTCCTAAAAAGGTAATTTGATGGACTTTAAGAAGCAAGTCATATCGACTGCTTCCTCTTCCATTTATGTTTCTGTAACCTTGATTGCACTTAATTTGTTTCGGTGCAACCATTTAGTGTATGTGATCAATCAAAAAGGATAAAGAGCTCTGCAGGAACTATTAAATAAAAGATTCTTTTAAGATTAAACAAATAAGTCCTATAGAAAAAACATAAAATATAAATAAAAGTGGGCTCGGTATAGATAGAACGATGACATACCATTTGCAAAGTAACCAAAACTGAGGAAAATGCTAATGAGTCAAAAGGTATCTCATCAAATCCAAACAGAGCACATTCAAGGGACTCAGGTCCTGGGGCAAAGTGGGGATTCTTCAATTTAGCCCGGAAAATTATATAGCTCTGTACTGCACCAAGGCACCCAAAAATAGTGAAAGACGTACTAAAAATATTGTATGTCACAACAAAAGAGTCAAGTATCTTATGATTAATTAGAGCATGGAAAATGATAGACCATTAGGATCATCCCTATCCAACGAGATAATGGAAGGTGATCAAGAGAGATAGGCACTATTTGACTTCAAATTACAATCAAAAAGTGTTTTGTCTCAACTTGTAATTGAACAGGTGACAAATTGATCAATTTAAAGTAGCTATCTAGAGGCATTTGAATGTCTTAATTTGCATAGCAGTGTGTTATCATATTGTGGTGGCGGCGGTGGTGGTGCCAGTAGTAGTGGTGATGCTGATGCTGATGGTGGTGGTGGTGGTGGTGGTGGTGGTGGTGGTGGAGTATGGTGGCTAAGCAGGGAACATGGCAGAGTGGGTGATCGAGTGGTGGAGGTCACATGGGATAGTTGTGGTTGCAATGGCGATGTGGGTGTTAGTTACGAATTGGTGATTTTTTTTTTCGTTTTTTTGTGGGGGGGAGGAGAAGGGGAGAGAGAGAGAGAGAGAGAGAGAGAGAGAGAGAGACAGAGAGGCTCCATGCAATTCGGAATCAATTCAAATGTGACAACCAAACATCCATAGATGTCAAATTGCATCAAGCCAAACGACAATTTGGTTCAAATTGGTGAGACCCTACATTAGGGTCATGTCTTGTTCTAGTGGGTCCCAGTCTCTCCATTTCATTTCATCCAATGGTTATGACCTAAATGACTGAACAAACCATAGTCCATTGCATCATAATATACTCTTCCAAGAGTCAAAACAAGCAGTCAGGTTGCTGAAAATGAAGAATTTATTTATCCTTACTTGACCAATAAGAGGAATATCCAACTGAGCAAATGGAGATATAACTTCCACATCAGCACATGCTTCTTCAAAGGTTTCCCTTGCTGCACCTTCCGCTGCCGACTCACCAACTTCCATGAAGCCTGCTGGAAGAGTCCTGTGGAGAACCAGCAATCTTAAGCACAACCTTCCTAATCACCAGCTTAGAAACAAAGTTTTGAGCATTTCCTAGCAATTACAAATACAAGCCTAGTGGAAACTATCATTAAATTTATAATGGGGGACACAAGTCTATCAGGTATGAACATTTAAGGTTTTCTATCTTTAATCCACCACAGAGAAGAAAAACCGCAGTTGATGGAAATGATATTGTCAACCTAGAAACATTTACTGCAAAAAAGGAGTAGTTCTTCATCACTTGCTAAGGGCAATTGAAACTCCTGGCATTCAGGCAAGTTGACTACCCTTAATTATACCCTCCCTTCCTCCCTCTCATCACACAGGTTTCTCTCCCACTCATCACACAGGTTTCTCGCCGGTTCTTAATATATCTCATTAAAAATGTCTAAGCTATGAATGAGGGGCAAGGGACCAACATGAATGCATCGCCCTTTTGGACTTCATCTGCAGATAGAACTACTAGTCACAAGCAACTCTTACGATAGAGGACAGGAAAAGTATAAAAGTTTCCAGATTAATACCAGAGCCCATATGATGGTTGTATTTTCCTTTTGCAGAGCAAAACCTTACTGTTGTGTTCAACCAGGCAACCAACTACCTGTAGCATTTTGACCAAAAAATGAGCTTCAATCAAGATATTAAAGCTAATATTAGCAGCATTCAGTTTTGAGGTTAATAATGCAACATATGGCATGACTATTAACAATCTTGTAACAACATCGAGCAGGACATCAATAACTCCATTCATTAAAACTGGTTCAGCTTTAAAAACCTGAGCTGCACAAAAACAGGACCAGGCCAAATTGGGAGCAGAGACAAACCTCTATTTAACATTAAGTGCAAAGCAGCATGTCACTATCCAGACAAGGAGGCAGGCATAAACACAAACCCTTAAAGAGTTCTTGGTAAATCAATTTAAAAAAAAAACTGAGAGAGAGAGAGAGAGAGTGAGAGCTCCACATGCATGAAAATAAAACAAAACTAATCTGATAATGATTTATCTGTCATATGGCAGTATCAAGAATAACTTATTCAAGATAAACATAGTCAAATTTAAGTTTAACATTTTGAAAAGTTATTTTCACTTTACTCGGTGTAGGAAGTTAATTCGGTCGATCTTGACGTGTGGCACTTGAGAGAGAGAGAGAGAGAGAGAGAGAGAGAGATGATGATGATGTTCATCAAAATCATCATCATGATCATGAAAGTACTGATTCTACCTCCAAGGCAATTTTAATCACCATAAAAAACTAGTATTATCTCTCAATGAGCAGTAGAGACACACAATGTTATCATAACACTATTGCATTTACCAATCAACCCCAAACATGATTCCAGGATATTTAAAATTTTAAATATTTTGTATCTGATTACTTCAAGTAGCTTTATCAGATCATATCAGTAACATCAATGACCAAGTTTAGTTACCAACGTATATGTTTGCAGATATCTAGAGCAGAGCGTTATAGACTGCAGAGCTGAAATCACAGAAGTGCATATGAATTTCAAGTATGATGAGATTTTTTTTCTGTTTAGAAAGTGTATTTTTTAAAAGCTGTCAACTAAAATTGAAGAAAGAAGTCAGCGCCTAACTGACAAGAAGTAACTGATGCTGAATTTTCGTGCCGGGTGATAACATAAGAAGATCAAATTATCCATGAAAACAAAGGAAGAAAAGGATAGCATTGGAGTTACTAATCACCCAAAAAAAATTCTTCAGATACTACTATGAGTCTCTTTGTAAATGCAACTTTTATAGGAAATCCATGCTCACAGTCAGCAGCCTACCATTTTTGGATTCTCATAATGAACTTTCTCACATACTGTGCATACAGCCCTCATCCGCTCCTCTCCTTCGGGTATAACATGCTTGGTTGGACCTCCACAAGACTGACAAAAGCCAATATTAGGCTTGTGTACCTGAAAATAAAAAAAAAATGCAGTAAATTAATTCTCCTTTCCTGAGTAAGTATGATAGAACGGCAAACCCTATATCATTAATCTCAGAATAAATAAAAGCATAAACCTGTGCTTTCTCATGTGTCTGTGGGTGGGTGGACAGGTTTTCCTAACAAGCACATGGAGAGTGAGGTGGTTAACACAAGCCCCTGAATAAAAGCACACAGTGTTGGTTGGTCATATAAGCAGGCGAAAAATGTCACTAGGATTTATACAAGAACTAGAACAGCCTCTAACCACGACTAAGCCCTAAACAGAGCTAATCTAGAGATCACAGTTACCTTGGTCTAGCAACAGCCGCCGACCATGACTAGGCCCTAAACTGAGTTAATCCAGAGATCACAGTTACCTTGGTCTAGTCAATCTACCAAAATAATGATAATAAGGTTCATTTCCTATATATAGTGATAATCAAAAAGTAGTATTTTATTTTGTCACGAGAGGTTGCTAGTTGATCAGTAAAAACTGCAAAGCATACATGACCTGTCTCTATACTGGATCTAATTTTTCCTACTCTTAAAAGCAGCTATTATGTTTGTTAGCCATAGTGTTCATTTTCTCTTTTTTCTATAAAATATTGGTTTAAGGAATGGATATGAAAAGAAGAATTGCAACATGTGAACAGTTCTGGATATTTTTGTGGCAACATTCAACATGGCTGGTCATATATCATGGGCCAGGCAACATCTTTTCGAAGCATTCCCATAAGGACCTCAAAAACCAAATATTCTGATTCTAATCAAAAAGCATTTCTAGCAGTAATACAAGTCATGAAAAAATCACATTATAACGGAGCAAATAAATCACAACCCTTCAATTGAGACTTTGAAAAAATCACCACTAAAAACCATTACTATCAATAGATTTAGAAAGGAAAATAATATGAGCCCCTAGGTAGCCGGACAACAATGTCTATGAACAACTCTAAGGGAACTAACAACTTACGATAAAAAATTATTCAAACCATTCTCCAAACCCCACCTAGCCCATCAACTATTACTTATATCCTAAAGTCCCAACTGTTGCAATCTCTTAAACTTGCCCCAAAATTGCAAGCCCGGCCGATTTTTATTCTAGCATAGCAATAGAATAAAAGGAAAGCCAAACCAATGCTAATAAGGTTACACCTATTTTTTGTTAATTAAGAACCCAATGGAAGTTCACAAAATGCAGCTTCTACTGGTCACATAAGTCGGGTGATCAAATTCCATTTTCAAATTGGAAAACATTACATGATGCCTTCTTTCTTTTCTTTTTTTTTTTTGAAATAAGTAGTTGACTAACAAAAATAGTTGGGAAAAGGGCTTTGATGATGATGAAGTAGTTTACTAACAAAAAATCATTAATCTAACCAAGCTTCAATATTAAAACATACACTTCTCACATAATTACATGCACATGTGGGAAAACACCCAAATATGCACATTCTTTTCTCTTTGTCCCTTTAAAAAAAAAAAAATTGCACCAAGTAATGTGACGCAATGGCTTCAAAGGAACACTCATATGCCTTAGTATTATTGCCCAGGCAGCTTATCTAGCCCATCACAAGACACAGAAAACCCACAAGTTCGAAAATGTACATTAAACTTGGGTATTGGACGCCTCTTGCAGAGTAAGTTCACAATTTCAAAATAACATTTGAAGAAATGGGGGAAGAGAGCGTTGAATTGGAGAAGAAACTGGTCTGTCAGTTTGCGTGGTTGCATGCGTGTGTAGGAGAGAGAGAAGAAGAAGAAAAACGTGAAGAATGACAGTTTGTTGAAATCTCGAGTTTCCAAACACTTTATCATAGAGTAATTATGATGTCTGCAATCCCATTTCTACCCAACCCAACTAAAATCCCCACGATCTCCAAAGCCCCAAAATTATTCGAGTAAACAAAAGACCCACAGAGAAAAAACCCAAATCAACGAAGGAGCAAAATCCACGAAGAACAAAGCTACAAGAATTTAGAAGCATAGCAATGTAAAGGAAGAGCAACAATCAAATAAATGTACATAGAACAAAACCAAGATAACAAACAGTATAATCCTCGAATAAACGCAGAGGAGGAGTATGAGAAATCAAAAGCTACCATTGATGGCAAAGATGAAGAAGAAGAAGAGACCCCAGAATCTGAATTGGAGGGAGAGAGATGTGTAGACATCTGAAGAGCCCTGAAATAACGTCTGCTTCGAGATAGAGATTTGGGGTTTAATAGAGGAGGACCCAAGTGAGATGTGTGGCTTTGAATGAATGGGTGTGGTAGAGAGAAAGGGTGGGGCTTCAACCTGTGAAATGGAGAAGCCCCTGTTTTAATGGTGTGGATACTCCTGATCATTTCTTTATTCAGAGTGCGCCTCGAATTGGACTTACGTTTGTGCATTCCGAGGGGCGGATATGAATGGGTAGGGAGATGCCATGTCCATCGAGTCTTTGGAATTTCTTACTCATTTTTGGAAAAAGTTTATGGGAAAGTACAGACCGAGACCATTTACCGTCGGGAAAAGGTGGTCACATTAAAAAATTGGGTTCATACGAGCTCAAATTTTAAAATGGGTCCATACAAGTTCAAATTTTAAAAAATTTAATCGATGCAAGCTCAAATTTCAAAAAAAAATGGTCTCAAACTTTACAGCACGCTATCAAATTTCATATATGGTGGTTATGAGTAATTATGATCGCCTCGTATCCAAAGTAAATAGTCTCCTTCTATACAATCTTAGAGTTTATATAGAGTACTCTAAACGATCAAATTAAATCTCACTTCATAAATTTCACTAGAAGAGATTGTTTTTATGCTCAAGTATCCTCAAATTGATCATCTCGATATCCAGATGCATGAACATGAAAAAAAAATAGATTTTAGTTTTGAAAATAATGCATTTTTTTGACCGTCAATTTTCAAGATTTTATAGATATGCTCGATCTACACTATTTTTTAAGCTTTAAATTTTATAATTAAATATGAAAATATATTTTAACACTGTTTTTTAAGCTTTAAATTCGATTGTTTAGTGCCTCGGCTCTATACAAACCGCACATCAATCAACACATTTTTCTAATTTAAAATTTGTTTTTTGCAACGTGGATCGCATTTCTACATTTGTTGTCCCGAGGTATAAAGCATCTATCTTAAAATAGATGCAAATAGGTGGTCTATCTAAAAATGGGTTATGTTATAATTGAAACTAACAGTCCAAATGTTTTTAATTTTAAAATTTTGTTTATTTTTTCATATTCATGGTCTCCATGTTAGAGACTACACATCATTAGAAATTAAGTAAAAAATTATATCTCAAAAATAAATTTTTAAGAGGTCACTCATTTCTACATGGACTCATGGAAACGTGTCCATAAAGGTGCTGCCTTATACTTCATAAAATAAGGTGCAACTCAAAAAATCGAGTAGAAAATATTAATTTGAAAAACTTTCCAAATGATCACCTCGATCTCGATATATATAGATATATATATATATAAAATCAAGTTTTATGTTATGAGCATAGTGAATATTATAACAACTCATCGAAACCATCTATTGTCAAGTATTTATAAATCTCCCTAATCTACACCGCTTCAAAAATTTAAATTTCATATTAGTGTTGACCATGGATTTTCGAGCTACCGTGAGGTTTCTAACACAAGAACTACATCTTCTTATGAAATTCAAAGGTGGGCCTTTCATGTAAAGTGTGAGGTGGGCAGAGCAGTTCATATTGATTTTTATTGCCATATGGCTTGTATCATAATGCATAGGCTTTGTTAAAACAAAATAATGCCTCACCTCAAATCCTCATCTAGAAAGTATTTTCAACAATAAAAATCATCATATTGGCTCTAAAATCAAATTTCAATATTGACAATAAATTTTGAAAATCAACAAATAGTGTAGATCGTGTGGAACTATAAACATTTATTTTTAGGGCGAACTGGATGATCTAAATAATTTACTCCCTCAATTGTATATATATATATATATATATGGAAAATGTCGATATTAGTTCACTAGCTCATATCAACATATGAGCCCAACAATCTATACGACCTCATTTTGTATTTGAATTTTAATTGTTTTTCTATGAATCCAAAAAAGTAAATTTTAGGCGTCCATTGTTATTATCAAGGTGCACGTAATAAAAATATTTAAAAAATAAATTGCAAAAAATAAATTAACCAAAATACTACTGAAATATTTCAGAGGTATTTTAGTCAATTAATTTATTACAAATTATTTTGTTGATATTTTTATTAAACTCTTTTATTTTTTAATAATACATGCCTAAAATTTCAAGTGATTTGGATTTATACAAAAATAAATAAATTCAAATACGAAATGAAGTCGTAGCCGTCAGATCGGCCCATATTCAATCTGGACCGTTGAGCTCATATGTCGATATGATCTCAGTATTTTTTTTGCATATATATATATATATATGATACGAGATTTGAGTGCTGAAATCCATCAATTTAAAAATTTATTGTAAGTGCAAGCTGTATACTCAATATGTGAACTAGCTCACAATTTTTAGACGGGAGAAAGTTTCAACATTGGATATCCGATCAGCCCACTTTAAAACAAAAAAAAAAAAAAGAATCCAGACTTTCAACCTCTAGCAATACCCAAATTAAGGAAAAAAATTGTGGGTTTAAACAAAGGAAAATGGTTTGATAAGGGTGCAGACTTATTAAAATAAGTAAAGCCTCCCCTCATAACTCATAAAAAATTGCTATTCAAGTGGTAAAAAAACTTTAAATAGGTATCTCAACTTTAATATTATGGTCGTGCAAAAAAATTAGGATTTTAAAATTTTAAAATAGTGCATATTGCAACAAATCATTTGGATCGTCCATTTTTCCTTAAAAATAAGTGTTCACATACTCGGAAGATCTATAACATTTTTTGAATTTTAAAATTTATTGTCTGTATTGAATTTTATTTTTAGAGCCATCATGAATATTTCTAATGTCAAAAGTTCTTTCCAGATGAGGATTTAAATGAAGCTTTATTTCGTTTTCATAAAGTATAAGCCCTATAGGAACTTCATCGTTGAACAAATGGTATTTGAGATGCGGTATTCAATAAAGAAGAAAAATGAAAAGGAAAATGGATTATGAGTTGTAAAATAAAGAGAGAAAATTTTGTTAATGCTTTTCTAAATTACTATAATCCTCCCAAAAGTTTGATTTTATGTTCATATTTAACAAATATATATATTATTTTTTCTCCATAATGCCCCAAGCTTTGAACCTTGAAGTCCAAAGTCCAATATTGTTTTTCCTTGGTAAGTTTATTTTGAACCTTGAAGATCTAAAGCAATTCTAAACATCATCTTCAAACCTTCAAGGTACGACATGGATTTTTGTTTATAAACATCATTTTTGGATCTACAAGATCCAAAATTAATGTTTGAAACATTTTGTTGGTTCCTATTTAAAGCATAAGTTCAGACTTTTGAGGTTTTGGAGTCGATATCTGATATATTTTGTCAATTTTTGTTTCAATTTCCAACATCAACTTTGGATCTTAAATGTTCAAAGTTAATATTTTGAAAAACATTAAACCATCAAAGTCCAAATATTATGAGTAGAAAAATAATTGAGCTAACCTTCTAGGTCGGGAATTTTGAAAACAAAATCAAATTTGAAAAAATACAAACATAACATTGAACCTTTTGGAGAACTACTATATAATGATAATTTAGACGTAACATATACTTCTTTAGAATAAAGTCCTTTGTTTTCGAATTTCGATATTGGATCTCCATAAATCCAAAAGATATTATACTCCCATGGGTAAAATCCCACCTAGAATTAATTTTAGGTCCCCAAAAAAAATCCTTAATTGTACGCTCTATGCACATGAAAAAGACAATATATCGAGATTGAATAGAGACTAGTAAATTTGTAGATGATGATATCTGAGCATTAAAAATTCAAAGTTTAGTTTATCTTTTAAATTTTTTGAGAACAACCATTCTCATGTGATTCTTAAAATTTCACATTGACAAAATTATCTAAGTAACTATTTTGTTCGAGGGAGTAGAAGTAAACTACGTGCTCCTCTGTAAATTCCCTCAAACTTAATCTAAAGTCTATAATTTAGCAAAAATATATGTTTAAGAAAAGTTTATAAAGAGGTTATTTAGTAGAGGAAAAAGTTTTTATACTTCCCCTTCGGTACAAAAGATCTATGCTTCCCTTACTATCCAGCTGTCCGATTTTGATCACGAGAGCCCCTCATTGTTCAAATAACATATATTAGATCCAACGTCTTAAAGTATTTTAGTTTTAGTTTTTTTACATAAATTGTGTGAATATGGAATTTGGTACGTGCCATCTTCTCGTTGGGGCACAACTATAAAAAAATATTAAAAATAATTATTTCATAAAATATAATGACCAAAATATTTATTGAAAATTTTAAAGATATTTAGGTTATTATATTTTATTGATATTTTTTTTTTATATTTTTCGCTAGGAAGATTGGACGTTCAAAATAGGGTATCAAAATAGTTTATAGAAATAAAATTTAAAAATAAAATAGTTTGGAGACGTGAGATTGTGATTAGGGCCCAGAAATATATGAGTTTTATGCTGCAGGACCAGTTGCTCTCTGTGCTTCCCCACAACATGGAAGATCTATAAGGAGCTCACAATCCCTCGCTCTTTTGGATTTTAAAAATTCGAATAACACTATTTATTGCAATTTTGCCGAACTTGGATGATTGAACTTCAACTTTAGCCGCTCGCTCTTTCCACGTTGGCGCCATCGTTCTGCTGCAGTGTATACGATGAAATTGAAACCTCTGTGGGAAAGAGGTTCATATTAATACTGGGAATTGCAGAATTCCAATGACACCAACCACTAATCATACTCGATGTTTTCCATCTCAGCGTCGCCACCTCCGCCACTCACCCTCCATTCCTTCCTTTCTTCATCCAGGTCTCTCTCTCGTGTCTTCATTTTTCATTTCCCATCTTCCATTTTTACTGCCTTTTTCATATACCTTCAAGTTTGGATCTCTCGCTCTCTCTCTCTCTCTCTCACTAAATTTCACTCCAGTCCATGTCACTCAATTTTCACCATTCGTCATCTCTGTCTCTATCTAGTTTCTTCATTTTTCATTTCCGATCTTCCATTGTTACTATTTTTTCCATCTCTTCAAGTTTTGACATCTTCCCTCTCTCTCTCTCTGTCATTTTTATCCCCTATCTTTGTCTAACCACTTCTCTGTGTTCCCCTAATCCGTG